AGTTATTTCAAAGTTTGTATGAGTCAATGACAACTTTGACTCATAACCTGCTTAAATATGCATTTTCTTTTGCATTTATTAGATGCAATCTAATATTTTCTCTCATTTTTATAGCGAGTGTCTATGTAAAAAAAACATTGAGGGTACCTTGGTGGACATTGGCGTCCTCACATTGTGAGGGTTCGGGGAAGCCCCACAAAGGTATATAAGGTCATTCTTGTTACTTTGACAAGAGACTGGTCACCAGATTCAAACTCATGACATGACTCCATCCTATGTGAGGACATGGATACAATTGTTTCAATCATAACTGATTTTAAGGATTACTTCGATAAATATATTCCTTAATTTATTGTACATCACCACAATGTGTTAAATCACCTATTTGTCACAGATTTCAATAATTTACAAATGTCACCCATATACCTTAGAGTGCTATGACCCCAAGTTGACTGTGGTACATATCATTCTACTATTTTGTGGATATATTCCTTTGTATCCATTCTTTTATGAATAAAATTCAAAGATATGCATGTAATGAATTCGAATGCATAAAAACATCTCAAATATAATTTCAGATAGATCAAAGAGATGTTAAATTAATTAAAAATCTCAAACGAATATAATTTATACCAAACTGTAAGACTTGAATAAAAGTCTAATTAGAATTAGTAATGTTCATAGTTTTAAAACTCATGAAAGAGTAAAATAAAAAATGGATAAGCCCAATAATTAGAGAGTTTCTTATTCTAAAAATAGTAGACAATCATTAAACTTAATTTATATTCTCATGCGGTGAATCTCTTATTCTTTAGAGATTCTACGAAGATAAAAACTAAAAGTATATTTTCAAGTTATATATATCCTGACGAGATAATCACATTTAATCCTCTTATATTAAGGGATTTACTTTAAAATTTATATTTTCAATTTTTTTTTATTTGGAAATTTCTTTATCCAAATAACTCTTGGGAGGTTTCTTTATCCCCAAAAAAATATTGTAATTGCATTTAAAAAAAAAGACGCAATAACAATAAACATCATTCACTAGTGCCAGCTAAAAGCTAGTTAGTTACATAGTTATTTAATATATATTGGTGCATTAGTATATGTCTAGAGAAGTATGTGTAAAAATGGTTAATTTTTTTCTATCAAATTAAATAAGCTTTTGTGATTTGCTTTTCACAAAGTGTGCCGGAGTAGCATTGAATTCTAAAATAAGCGTTGAAGATACTCAAGTTCATTTGAGTGCATAATGTCAAACTCCGGCCAAATTGATTGGTCAATTAAATTTGTAGAGCCTTGTGTGGAAATTCTTTATCACACAAATAATTAATATAGAAAACTGAATAATGGTACTCAAATCCGTCCGAGGCCAAAATGCCAAATACAAGTTGAGATTGTCAACCACCTTAAAAAAAATTACATGATCATGAGTACATTCATGAACTTGTGTAGTTCATATGATATAAAACAGAAACTTGTGTATAAACAAAATCGATTCTTTGTGTGAAAATTTTTTATCACAAAAAAATAATCATGAGAGTATGTCTCTTTGTAGACAATATTTTAAAATGCATCGAAGTGAGGAGATATAAATTCACCTCCTTAAAAAAAATCATAGAGATTTTTATGGGGTGTTATATGGAGTTTTTAATATAGAAAGTATTAATATTGGTCTAAAGAACGGATTAGGCATAAAATATAGTAATCTTACATGATTATGGTTCCAACTATATGTAAGTGACATATAGCATTACGGAAAAATATAATCACATAATATGTTTAAAATAATTAAAAAAGTGCATAATATGATTTTAATTCCAACTATATGTATCTAACATATAGCTTTACGGAAAGTATAATCATATAATCATATAAAATACATGAAAATAAGATTAATCGTGTGATCTTTGATTCCAACTATATGTATATGACATATAGTTTTACGAAAAAGTATGATCACATAGATGTATAAAAACGAAGAGAGATGCATAATGTGACATTAATTCCAACTATATGATTATAACATATAGCATTACGGAATTATAATAAAAAAATTGCATCTATCTCTCAAAAAAAAAATGGGTGAGGCATATCATCAAACACTTGGGGTGCAAGAAATGGATCTCAAAAAATTGACAACTTAATCTCTAAAAAAATCAATGATGTTCATCACAATGGTAAACATGATGCAATAAATCATATACATAAGATCCTGCAATGATTTTTGAGTAAAAAAATACCTCAACAGAGATCCGGGAATTGGTGAGTCGCAGGCTAGGAAGGGGGGAGGCCGGGCGACGGTCGGTGTGTTGGGAGGCGGCCAAGCGTGGCTGGATTGCTGGCGGCGCGGCTGGACTGCTGGAGGTGCGGCTGCGGATTGAGTGTAGGGAGAACGGGAGAAAAAAAAAGGTTTAGGGCTACGTGCTGATAACGTGTTGTAGGGAGAATTGGGTGTATAGTTTCATTATCAAAGACCCTATAAATAGGGAGATATTAGGGTTTACATAGATGGGCCTATGGGCCCATATAATAGATAGTTTACATAGAATGATCCTAATACATATTCTATATACACGATTGCACACTACACGGAATTTCCTTCAACATAAAACATATACTCCCTCCGTCCCGGAAAAGTAGTCCCACTTTGACTTGGATCGGAGTTTAAGAAAGTGGGAATAAAGTGGAAATGTATGGTTGTGGTTGAGTAAGAAAAAGGTAAATGAATGTTAGCCACACAAAACATTCCAAAAAGGGAAATGGGAACAATTTTTTGGGACAACCCAAAAAGGAAAATGGGACTTATTTTATGGGACGGAGGGAGTATTATTTTCTGTATCGTATTAGTTGCAACATTGCAAATTATACACTACCATGTAATCTACTTTGACTACATTTTAAGTATGTTTTATTCTCCAAATAAGACTTACTTAGTCATATTAAAAGAATAAGTTGATTAAAACTTCCCAAATTATGAGTAAATGAGTCATATTTAGAGAATAGATTAATGTTAATACTGTTCATACACTTTATCCTTCTTATAGTCTTATTAACAGAATTTTCTCATTCAAATAAGCTCGACTTAAAACATCGAGCTTGTTTGGTAATATAGAAATGGGCTGAATCGACTGTTTCTGCTAAAATTTATGAAGTTTCTGGCTGAATTGGCTGATTCTGTTGATTTATGAAAATATTATATTTAAAATATTTTTTATTAAGAAACTAAAGAAAACATTATATGAAAAAATCGCTGAAATGATAATCTACAGTTATTTCAGCCAATACAGCTCGAAAAGTAACTCTAACCTTAGTTTTTTCTTATAGTGATTTCCTCATATAGGACTAGAAGAGGAGAGGAATTCTTAAATAAGCCCGTGTATGTTTTTTCTTCCAAATAGGACTATTTTGCTCATATTTTAAAACATGTGTATTTTCCATTCCATTATTACCCCTTCTCCCTTTTTATGCATCTCTGTCATCTCCCATGTGTACAACCTTTCTCCCTTAGCGCACAACCCTTCTCCCCTTCTGTCATGCGCACATCTCTCTCCCTTTCTTCCATGTGTATCATCGATCAACTTCACCATAGCCATCGCCACCCCCGACTTCATCCTGTACACCAGATCGCTGACTTCTCTCTCATGTCGTTGCTGCTATCGTTTTCACCACATGTCGCTGCCACTAAGGTCCTCCTCCTCCTTAGTTTTTCCTCTGTTTTTTGGATTTTGAATTGATTTTGTCAATTTTCAGGCTTCTGTTTCGATTTTGTGGTTTCTGTTGAGTTTTAAGAATATTTCCGATTTTCAAAAACTTTGGATGATAGCTTCACATTTGACCAAGTTTATGGCAAAAATGCTCTTGTGTAAATTGTTTTTTCTGTTTCTTTGTCAAGATTCATTTTTCTAATTTCTCGTTGTTAAAGTGATTATTCCGTAAAAACAAATAGTTGTTTGAATATTTACTTATTTATTTCATGTTTTTTATTTTTGCCAAATTCATGGCATTTTTGTCTTAATATTCCAAAATAAATCTGCAAGCTCTTTGGCAGATCCGAAACCCTTGTTCTTGAGAGATGTGAATCTACTCCCCAACCCTAAATCTGTCATCTTAATGGCAGATTTATTCCGCCTGAGTTGTCACGGTCGCGGCGGTGCTCAGAGGATGGTGGCGGCGGTGGGTGGTGACGAATGGTGACATCAGTGATGGAAGCAGCGATGAGGGAGGATGCAGGCGGCGACAGGTGTCAGTGACGGCGGCAGACGTGGCCGGTGATGGAGGCGGTTGCAGGCGTGGCCGGTGACGGCGGCAGCAGGTGACGTGGGTGGTTGAACTATTATAGTTAAACTTTTAGGGCTTTATGATATTTTATTTTTATTTTTACATTTTTAATTATAAATTCAAATAAAAATTGATTAGGGGCATTTGTGGACAAGTAGGTGCTTGTAAGTCCCTAAGAAACATGGATATGATTTTTGGTCCTATTTGTGCACATGTGTTATCTTTTAGTCCTATATTAGAACTCTTTTTCTTATTACTCCGTATTACACAATTCACCGTGCGAAATCAAAATTTATTTAGTTGATGAAAAAGTTAGAGGATAAATCCGATAAGTCGAAAAACAGAGTCACCAAACGGGTTTATCATACATCTAATACTATGTATTTGGTAAAAGGAAAATTCCTTTTGTACACCGCAGTTTGTACACACACAGACAATTTGACTTTCTTTTATGAAGAAAACATATTTCCATTGTCTGTGTACAAATAATTGTGTGTATAGGAACAATTTAAATTGTCTTTGACACACAATTTTTTTTTATGTGTATCAAAATTGGTTTTCTACGTAAAAAATCAGTCATTGTCTGTACACGGAAAATTTAACAGGCTTGTACAATGCTGTGTAGACGAATCGTGGCTCCGGGTAAAATGGTCAGTTATGAAAATTGAATAGTTAAAACTAACTTAAAAGCGACCGAGAAAGATAAACTTTGGAGTGTTTTTAAATTTTAACAAAGGCTTAAGTTTTGACGATCAACCAAAAACACTGTGCCGGCGCGCCCACATAGCAATGATTAAAACGCCCCAAGCTCCCATTTTTTGGGGTTAATAAGGTCGGAATTTACCGGAGGAAGCGCGGCGTCTCGACCCAATCCCCTGCCCCAATCACCTTCACTCATGCAATCCTACTCCTCACCAGTTCCACCATAGCACCACAACATTCTACTTCTACGCCGGCGACTCGGCGCCGACGTGTTCGGAACTGAGTTTGGCTTATGAATCTTGCCGTCAGAATTAACTTCGTCATCCCCCAGGTATGTTTCTCAATTGTGGTGATGGTGATTGGTGGGGGTGCGTGGTTACAAAAAAGGCTAATTGTATGGTGATTTATTTGCATCATGTACACCTGCGCAGGATTAGATCTTCGCATTTCATGTTGATGGCACTTTAATGTTCTCTTCTCTCCTGGCATGTGATAATTGTTGCTACAGAGCTTGTTTTGAGATCCTTTGATTTCACGCTTATAATTTTTCATTCGGGGTGATAAAGGATGCAGAGAAGCAGCTCATGGTGGTAGTTGACATCTCACAGCGGGTGTCTCTATGCTGTGATTCTCAATTTAAGTGATTAGAACGGTTTCTGATGCTTTTCTTATCATGAAGAAGAATCACTTGCTCCTACCTGGGAATCACTCTAAACTGGGAGATGAAGTATCTGAACCTAATTGCACTACGGTATCTGATATTCATAATGTATCATTTAGCGAATCAGTAAAACACTGGCAGGGAGATGATGGCTCCCATAACTTGTCTGATTTTTTGTACAAATTTACAGAACAATCACCAAAACTTTCTCCTACTCCGTCGTTGAAATTCAGTTCCTTATCTCCTGAAGCTCATTTCCAGCAACCTCAAAACAATTTCTCTCGTGCTTCCACATTCTGTACTAGTTTGCATTTTTCATCTTCATCTAGTTTAGAAACTACACTGCGTCTTGGAAGTTTGCCATTTCTTCCGGATCCTTCACCTCGCAGACTGCCAAATTTCAGCATTAAACCTTCAGACTCGCCATCACCTGTTCATAGTGTAAAAGGTCCTTCAGAGGATAGCTTGAAAGTTTTCCAAAATATCCCTGCAGACAGTTTGGATGGTGCTAATCATGGATATTGTGGGTTTAATGACTTACAACTTACTGAGCAAATGGAATTACAGTTACTACCAGATGAGCTTCACATTGCTATTGGTTGTGATGGAGAGAATCCTCGGATTGATGTACGTATTGAGCAAATTATATACTTCGTATATATGTTTTGATGAACTACGAGCATCAACCATATTGAACATGATGCTTTATACAAGCAGCATATCATTTCTGATTCTTTATATGAGATAAATAAGTTCATGGTTAAGAGTTGAGCTGCCTGCATAAACTTTTAACTTTGTATGGCTCAAAAAGGGAGTGGAGGGGCTAAAGGAGGAGTTTATAAAGATGTTATGTTTGACTTAATGGAGAAGTGATGATAAATTTTTTATTCTAGGAAAAATATAAAAAAAATTAGATTTGATATGGTTTTGTTGCAACTAAAACTATATAACAATCTACAAAATAATGATGAATATATACCCAAAAATAAAGACAGTGGATAAAAATGTGACTTTTTATACTTTAGTGACTATAATAATAATTTTAGTGATCATGATTACGTTCAATTTTACAGTGACGGACGGTATACTCATAGTAACTCGAGTCACATTTTTTTCCATAAGATTTATTTAAATAAGACTTAAAGAAATATCTCATAATCTATTACCCATAAAATATAGAATTTTGATTAGGAAATGATCAGAAATTCAGGGAAAAATTTAAATCTTGCGAATTACCTCAAATTGGGAGAGTGAGTTATGAGGAGTTTGAGGGAGTCAATAGCTCCTCCAGCCCTCCATGCCCCAAGCTTCTTCAAGCAAACACACAAACATCCCCCCTCCCTCAAAACCCCCCAAACCAAAAAAGGTCTAAGTGATTAAATAGCTGAGTCTTACTAGTTACTGCCTCTATTTTCAAATTCACATGCTTATTATAGCTCATTATTTTCACTATTTTCGTTTTTTATTACGTATTTATTTTTTATGCTATGTACGTAGTAACCAGTAGTGGAGCTTCAAAATTTGAAGTACAGTATCTCAATTATCAAGGGATTTCCCATTAGGCTGAGCTTAAATAACCTATAAGTCTATAACCTATTGCAGCATTAGTGGTGCTTGATTAGTACTTACTGTCATTGGCTTGGTATATATGTCTTGGACCTAGGAAATATATGAAGAACCTCAATCATTAAGTCAACTAAGCAATGAATTGACTCCGAGCCAGAATGACATCTCCAGTACATTACCTCCTGATAAGTTATCGGCTCAGCCATCTGCTGGTTCACATAAGCCACGGATGAGATGGACACCTGAGCTTCATGAATGCTTTATGGAGGCTGTAAAGAGACTAGATGGTCCTGAAAGTATGTTATGTTTATTTCGTAATAATTTTTTTCGACTGCTTGTCTGTGTTGGAAAGCTTTTAACTGTTATCTGAGTTCATTGTAAAGAGAACCAGAGTGATTTTTCCGTTTTGTAATTTATAGAGGCAACCCCAAAGGCTGTGCTTAAACTAATGAATGTTGAAGGTTTGACTATCTATCATGTGAAGAGCCACCTCCAGGTGATTTTAAGTCTTCCATTTTTTCCAGTGTTTACAATAGCTGATGAATTTTGGTAAATGATTATTTAATGTTTTATGCAGAAATACAGACTTGCAAAGTATATGCCTGAAAGAAGTGAAGGTAAAACATTTCTGGGTGATATCTTCTCTAACATATGTGTTTGTCATTAGCATTGATGACGTTCATTTTCATGATCATACTCATCTGAATAAGGCATTTAAGAATTAAGTTGCATGGTGGACTTTGGATGTTTAACTGTATTATTCTTTTAATGGCCCCGTTTATTTTCCTTCCAAGGCAAGTCAAAATTGGATTGTCCCTATGGTCTAATACAGAAAGTTGACCTTTACAGATATTTCATCATTATATGTCACACTCAATATAGAGATCCATATCACTTCCCCCAATCTGTACTGTCATTTTGCAAGTTATTATGAAATAAACAATGCATTTGTATGATTGTGTTATAGATCTTTTTACAAAAAGAAAAAAACCAGTTTTCTCTTTTGAAATTCACGGACATCCATTTTATTTACTTGCATATTTAAGCCAATTAGTGTTGATATTGTTTTTATTTGAGATTCTGAGGATCTTATATATCTTATTCTGTTTCCTCAGATAAAAAGATCCCCAGCACTGGAGATGATGAAGCAACTGTTATCAGTAAAGCAAGGGGGAAAGGGTAAACATTTCAACTTCCTCTGTCCCAAAAAAGATTTGGGAAAATTCCCGAAATGAGAGTAAAAAAGTTTGAAAATTCCAAAATAGGACTGTCAAGTTTTTATTTCCAAAATAGGAGTAATTACTGTCAAGATTGGAAAATATTGCCATGTTTAAAGTCTGGTATTGCCAAAACATGCAAGTAATTAGTCATATTTTGGGAATAAAAACATGATAGTCCTATTTTGGAATATACAAACGTTTTTAGTCCTATTTTGGGTAATTTCTCAAAAGATTTATGTTTATGGTGCTGTTTGTGGCATTATAAACATTACTTCTCTTATGTGTTCCTGAAGAGCATGAGTTTTTTCCTCCACAATGCAGGAACAATCAAGTCCTGGAAGCTTTACGAATGCAAATGGAAGTTCAGAAAAAACTACATGAGCAACTGGAGGTAGTAATGCTGAAGTCTAAATGGTTGATCAATTTGGTGCTAAAGTTTATTTGTGTTTCAGCCATAGCTGTAGTAAACTAGTAATAGTACTGACCCTACGCCTCTACATCAGCGGCATGCGTGTACCTGAGCAAATACCAGTCAAAGGAAAAAACTGCTGAGGAATGGGAAATATTGTTTATTTTTTTAATATTTTTTTACACATCAGTCTTTAATTATTTGTGTACTTGGTAATAGAGTATATCAAATAAGATGAGTTTGAACGAATATCAACAATATATTTTTTGAGTTTGAGCCTATATTTTTCACCCTTCTATTTTTTTTTCTCTCGCTATTTTCTTTGGCAATTATTATCCGGTTTCCAAAAGGACCCTAGAGTAGTGAAACTTCATAGTTGTGCACTGAAGCACTGATCTTGCAGCATACTCCTTTTCTTAGCCGTTTCGCATCTGTTATTAGGTACAAAGAGCGCTTCAGTCGAGGATTGAGGAGCACGCAAGGTATTTGGAGAAGATCTTTGAAGATCAACAGAAAACTGGATGTTGTGCTGGTGCAAGCCAGACCGTTTCGTGTACCGATTCTGACCCAGTTTGTGCTTCCTCTCCGACCAGCATCTCTCCCTCTCTTGCTCTATTCCCAGCCACCGACTCTGGTTGTATGGCATCTTCAAAGCTTGAAACAGAAGATGGTGGGGCCATGATTGAACATCAAACGCCTCAAAAAAGACCACGCACCAAAGAAGTCTCCGAAAACTAAGAGCTGAAGTGCACCCATAAGGGCAGCGAAGTTGGTAAAGCAATGAACATTGCGACTGCAAGGTCCTATTCCCATATTATTTTTTGAAACTGTGAAGTGCTGTAAGCATTGGTTGATTTGTTGTATTATTAATTTTTTTTCCACTGTAAATTACACATTTTGTGCCCTTGAATTTCTTCTTAGCGATTGATGTGCTTTTATTTATTCTTTGAATCTTTCTAAACTTGTTTAATTTACGTAATAGTGAATTCATAAGGCATGCAGTTATTATTACTAGAACGTGGTAAACCGGCCAATTAGTACTGGATTTTGAAGCTTTTATAAGAAAACCTGCATTAGTTTGAGACGAATTGGAAAACCATTGTGTTTTTCCTTCGAGATTCCCTCTGGGAACAAGTGAATAAGAGTAACTGAGTATGCGTGGGCATGTTTAGTTTCAATACCTGGACTGGTTGGTCCATGGTTCTCAGAATAGCTGACCATCCAGTACCAGACTACCAGTACTGGTTTGATTCACCCGATTTGGTATTTTTTGCAATGATATTTTTTTGTACAATAAGTACGTTAATTAAAATTTTACAATTGCACGCACACATGAAATATGAAAATACTACAAACACTTTAAATAATTTTATTAAATATTTCAACTGTATTGATGTATTCAAACATAAAGACGTTACGAATATTAAATATTACGAATTTTCTATGTAAAGTACATTAGAAAAATGAAGACCTCTTTACTAACGGAGATATTTTCCAGTTTTCCAGAAAACTGGAAAACTAGAAAATAAAAAACAGGAAACGTGTTTACTAAAGAAAATTGCTGGAAAACTGGAGAAAGGAAAACAGAAAAACGCGTTTACCAAACTGTTTTTCAAAACGAAAAAAATGAGACATGTCTCTCTTTTCCTTGATGATTTGGAGAAGTGATTTTTACTAGTTTTCCAAATTTGGAAAACGAAGATGCTACAGGCCGCTGCAATGAATTTGCATACTTACACCTAATGTTGGGTCCGGTCTCGCTCCGATATCGATTCCATTCTAGTACCTTCATCTTCGTACCTTACCCCTTACCCCCTACACTACCCTGCCCACCCAACCCCCAACCCGCATACCCCTTTTCCCTACAATGACCCTACCCCCACCCCGATCCACCCTACCCTACCGCCACCCCTACCACCTCAACCCCACCCGACCCACCCTAACCCTACCCCACCTCATATATTACCCCTTACCCCTTCCCACATGCCCCTACCTCAGCCCCACCCTACCGCCATCCTACCCCCACTCTCGTACCGCCATCATACCCACACCCTACTGCCATCCTACCCCACCCTACCCCTTCCCCTACCTCGGCCCCACCCTACCGCCACCCTATCCCAACTCCCTACCCTACCCCTACCTTACCCCAACCCCAACCCTTAGCCCTAACCACCACCCTAAACCACCCACTACCCCACCCAAACCCCCGTACCCCTAGACCTTACCACCCCACCTCAACCATACTCCTTACCCCACCCCCACCCACACCTACCCCGACCCCTGTGAGTAGGTATGGGTGGGTATGAAGGGTTTTAAGGGAGTATGGGTAGAGTGTAAGATCGTGGTAAGGGTAGGGGTAGGGGTCAAGGGTGTGAAATTAGGTGTAGGGTGTAGGGTGGGGGTACGAGGTATAGGGGCAGTGTAGGGGCTAGGAGTATGGGTACACGTACGAGGTGATCGACCCCACATATTATATTACTCCCTCCGTCCCAATTTGTAAGATACTTTACGGTTTACGATGTTTGACCGACGATAAAGCAAATTGATCCTTGTCAACACTCAAATTAGTTTTAGAAAATAAAATTTACATATTCAGAAACTACATTAAAACTGCTACAAAACCTGCAAAAAATAATTCAAATTTCATAAACTTTTGATATATAAAGTAAAAGATTAAAAGTGATTTATGTTGACCAAGTAAATAGTAAATGTATCATACAATTTGGGACTGAGGGAGTATATATTTGTGTTCATGAATGTTTGTGTGTCTATATATGTATAGGGTTATTTTGGACATTTTAATGTTAAACGGTGTTTTAAACCTTTTAAAGTAAGCATGATCTTATAACATTGCTTATTTTATGCATCACTTATTAATGCGAGTCTTAATAAGCACCCTTTAGTAACCTGTGAAGTAAACGTGTCAGTCTTCTGGAGGATCACAGAACTGGGTGAAAAAATTGATGAACATGTTTTCAAATTTGAAAATGGAAAACTAGAAAATAGAAACAGGAAAACTTGAGATACAAAAACTGAAAAATAAAAACAGAAAATTGGAGAACGAAAAACAGAAGTAGAAAACAGGAAAATATCTCTGTTAGTAAACAGACCCTGATTTTTTTTCGAATTAATGCTAATTAATTAATTAATTATGAAAATAATGCTGGGTTAAAAGTATTTACCGATATACTGCTGGGATTAACCATGGTCGGAGTAAGTCGCCAAACGGTTGGGCGACTTATAAGTCGTCATCCGGTTTGGCGACTTATAAGTCGCCCAACCGTTTGGCGACTTACCCTTAATATAAACAATGTCTCATTTCTCCTATTTAGGGGTTACGAACCAGATACAACACATTACAATAACCCAATATTCATAACACAGTATTCATCTAATATTCATAATCGAACACATCAACACATCATAAAAGAGTTTAGAGGTGGAAATATGTAAAATAAAGTCAATTCTTCCTACAACATCTAGTGTACAAGAAAAACTCCAATACAAAAGACAAACTACAAGTTCTCATGGTCTTCTTGATCGTCTTGGTCATGGAGATGTTGATGTTGCTGCCTACACCTACGCCGCTGGCGTGGTTGAAGAACCACTCTCTCATGCTGAGTCTGGGATGATGAAGTTGTCGCTGCACTAGATGTCGATGGCATATCCTGAGATGGGGGCATATGTATAAGATGACCATAGTCGACTTGCCCCAACATATCAGAACATAAGGAGGCGATGCCCGTCAAAACCTGACCGTACATGTCCATGTCATGCGTATCACTCACTGTGGCAGTAGCCCGCTGATGTATACGCTGCAAAGCTCGTGTCTGAAATATGAAACACAATTACAATTAGTTAGAAATAACAAAAAGTGTTAAATAAAGAATACTCCTTACTTTAGTAATTAATAATATACTTACTGTCAGATGCAAAACCAAGGAACTAGGCTGATAATGGTGAGTAGGGAGTCTGAACAAAGAAGACACAAACAAACGAGTGATGCTGTAATACCATCCCATGTAGTCTCCCGAAACAGATGAGACTAATGTTGGTGTCCCAGTCACAACAAGTTCAGCTCGTCTGTCCCACATAGCGACGTATCAGACATGTCTGAGTGCCCAATCTTCCGTATTCTTCCCACGCCTATCCAACCTATGAAGGTATACATATGTGTCGATAGGTGGTGGAATGACTTGCTCATACCCAAACTGTCCCAATACATGATCAGGCAAATGAAGCTCAACAATGTCAAAACATATCAACGACACACGTGCTCGTCATATGTGAGAATGCTCTCGTCCAGCGGGGGTTAAATCTGCAAACATCTCAGCTGTATAAGGCATCCATGTAATCTGTTTCATAAAGATACAAGATTAATATTACGATCTGCTATAGATATTATAGTTAATGTTATATTACGCACACCATACATGATCCTCACACATCCGATCAAACGCATCCCTGTACACACCGAGCCCAGAAGCCGATGATGTGCGACATAGATCAACAAATAGCAATCTAACCATTCATGTAGCATATATTGATGTGAATATTATGAATATATTTATATTCAACATACAATAACATAAATACAAACGATTGAAAACATACCGACGGTCCACAGGGTCCTCGCTCCGTACATGATGTGGTCCCAGGAGACGTGGAGGCTCATCACGCAGTGGGTGTCCATCAATGCCATGGTATGCCACTACAATGGGATGCCCAATGTGGATGTACTCACATGACCAAATCTGGAGAAGAAGCAAAAATCCTCCAAGCTCTGTGCTCCCTCTATGGCAACCGGGACACAGTTGTCTGTAGAGATAAGCCAGCGTGGCACTACCCCAACTGAACTGTGCTGCTACATCAAACCTCTCTAGCATACGCAAGTGCAGCACCTGAACCTCATTTCCGCTCTTGTCAGCAAAATTGGAAGCTCCCATCATCATCAAAATATATGTTCATGCATGTTGCTAGATCATCACCTCATCAGCGTCCGCATGAAGAACAACGAAATGCTCCCTCAGCCATGGCATCCTCAGAGATGACCCCTGAAGGTCAGCCCGAAGAAGGGGGCGAACACCCAACAAACGCTCACACTCATCAACCCACTGTCGATAAGCAGTACCAGTAACAGCTCTCCCATGGACCTATAACCCAGTCAGTACAGCAACATCTCCCAAGGTCACTGTCACCTCACCAACAGGGAGGTGAAACATGTGTGTCTCCTGCCTCCAACGCTCAAGAAGAGCAGTGAGTAGCGCTCTATCGAGAGGGACAGTAGCCACCAATTTATGCAGACCACAGAAGCTCCCATCATCATCAAAATATATGTTCGTGCATGCTGCTAGATCATCACCCCATCAGCGTCCGCATGAAGAAAAACGAAATGCTCCCTCAGCCATGGCATCCTCAGAGATGACCCCTGAAGGTCAGCCCGAAGAAGGTGCGAACACCCAACAAACGCTCACACTCATCAACCCACTGTCGATAAGTAGTACTAGTAACAGCTCTCCCATGGACCTATAACCCAGTCAGTACAACAACATCTCCCAAGGTCACTGTCACCTCACCAACATGGAGGTGAAACATGTGTGTCTCCTGCCTCCAACGCTCAAGAAAAGCAGTGAGTTGCGCTGTCGAGAGGGACAATAGCCACCAATATATGCAGACCATAAAAAACCGCAGCACAAACATGTGGAAGTACTCTGTCGTCCACCCGCACATGCGACAAACCACGTAGGTGCTCGCGGTACCTATCCACCTGAACATCGAGGCCAACCCACACATCCTCACTCCTGTGCGAGGCCTGCAATGTCAGGACAGAACGATCACTCGGCTCAGGATCCGCTGACACCTCCATGCCTACAAAAAATAAAAGGATATTAGTTAATTTTTAATTTTGTATTATTTTATTTTAATTAATACTGTACTAATTAATTTCAAGTCCATAGTAAGTTGGCCAATAATCACGGTCAGGAATGGGTTTAAAGAATCTTTGATATGTGGCGGCGTATTGTTCAGATGAGAAAAATGGATCCACAAATGGATGAGAAGACAAACTACGTTATACACATATGA